TTATCACAGAAAGAAATTGTAGAGAGTGGTGTAACGTTATGGCAGAATTAGAGGTACAACAATTGATACAATCAACAAGACCCATGAAAGAAAAATAGAAGCCTGTGAAATGAAATGTCTAAGAAAAGCAGCGAATAAGACCAGACTAGACAGGATAAAGAATATAGACATAAGAAACACTGTCAAAACTACACCATGTTTAGACTACATAGAACATCAAAGAATGAAATGGTTTGGACATCTAACCAGGATGAAAAATGATCAAATAACATCACAAATTTTCAACCAAAGAAGCTCAGGATATAAGGCAAGAGGAAGACCAAGGAAACGGTGGATTGACGGGGTCTCCGAAACCTGCCAAAAGCATGGCCTCAGAACATCAGATGCTGTCCGCCTTGCTTATGACAGGAACTTGCATCTCCCCACAACGCTTAGCGGCATACGTGGAAGGAAAAAGTAAAGTAAAGTACAATTGATACATGGAAAGGCTGGCCTAGATGATGCACTAGCGTCCACTGATGGTTCTTTTCATCGGGGTGTAAGATCTGGCTGGGGGTTTTCAGCTAGAATAAAGAGGAAAATTTAGGAGCTTTTTTCACTCTCTACAACTTTAAGCACGAGGATGAAAGTGGAGACAGCTCTTATCTGGATGCCAGAAAACACAGAGACCAGGGGAATTAACGTGCCGGATTCTCAGTCGGCACTGTGGAAGGTTCAAAAGGAAGTGATGAGGCATGAATGGATACCAAGCACCAGTACGCCAAAATTGCAGGGAATCACGTGGATATACTGTCCGGGCTATGCAAGAGTGCGAGGGAATGAAAGAGCGGATTTTATGGCTACGAAAGCGAAAGCTACGGGAACAAGAGAAATATTCTGAAGACCATATATGAAAGAATGCTGACAGAAGACACGAGATTAGATGAAATAACATGTGCAAGAATTTGTGAACGAGGAATTCAATGTGCATCCGGCAAGGAGGGACGTATAAGAGGAAGAGAACGACGTGTGTATAATCAGTGCTCTACTGGAACAGTTAGCATCTACATCTTAAGACGTTCGCTGCGGGAGACGGAGCACCTATGGGTATGCCCGGTGTGTTAAGATGTCTATCCGTAAATCAGTAAACAGCATAATTAATTAATTGTGAGAACTGGAACATCAGCTCTTACAATTCTATTGTTTAGAGAGCACCATAAAATAGCAGCCTTTTCTAGGTTGACGACAGCATGCATTTCTGTACACCAGACAGTCACTTTATCCCACAGTTGCATGTAGTTCTTGTGATGTCTGTTGCCTGTCCCTCCCCTGCCTATCTGCAGCATCATCTGCAAATGTCAATATCCTTAGCTTTAGGCTTTAATATCCTTCCAACCCCTGGTGCTTCAAGTTCTGCAGTCATGCTTGTATACACATTGACACCCCCTCCCCCCATCTGTGACTTCTTTAGATGTAAAGAGACATTTGGGTTCTCCTTAAAACTACGGCCACTTATTATGGAGTACGCTGGAGTTCAGTCCCCTGGCCGCATTGAAATTACGGAGTGGAAAAGAGGGAACGAAACAAATGACGTAATTACGGTGTGTTGGCGATAGATGCACTGCTGTCATAATAGGGTTAGGGTTTGGGTTAGGGTTAGGGGTAGGGTTAGGAGTGGCCGTACTTTTAAGGAGTACCAACACCCTAACCCAAACCCTATTATGACAGCAGTGCATCTATCGCCAACACACAGTAATTACGTCATTTGTTTCTTTCCCGCTTTTCCACTCCGTAATTGCAATGCGGCCAAAAGACTGAACTACGATGTACTCCATAATAAGTGGCCGTAGTTTTAAGGAGAACCGACATTTGTTGTATGTTGAATCAAGAATTGACAACACAGCACTTGGGACACTCCCACAAGCGCTCGTTGCCTATCATCAGCAGCAAGCGAAGAGTTCCAATTGCGATGGTACCAGTAACCGTCTGAATGCATATCCGCCTCATCCTTTCCCTGAGCATTGAGCGTCGGCCAGATCCCCATTCCCTTGAACATATTTGGAGTTACCTACCTTAGATGTTTGCGGAAGTAGACGACAAAATCATTACCTATCATTTATTAGCTTTCAGCTCACACGGGTTAGTAGACTAAGTAGTACTAGTAGTATTTGTCGATGACAATATACCTATTTATCGCAAAAGGAGTAATTAATTGAAACATTCAGTTTTTATATAATACCTGCAAATCAATACTTTTGCTAGAAATTTGAGGGGAAAAATCATTTATGTTGTTTACTTTACCCGAAACAACAACCCGCTACGTCCACAGAAAACTGGAACATTATTTTTTCACTTAAAAAAAAAAAAGAAAATGTATATACCAATACCAAGTAAAACATTTCAACATTTGTTGATAGCAGTTTTGTTTTGCTAAGATTGGATTGGCTGGATTGGCTTTTTACCCCACCAGGACATCACACAAGCGACAAACACCCGATGACACAAAGTGCCACCATGCGGATGAGGATCACCGTGGAGAGGTCCCAGAAACCGCGTTCAGACATTTGGCCATTTTTATGGCCTGCCTATATTGCGGCCCCTGGCAAAAGCCAGAGTGGGGCTTCAAATAACAAAAAATTACGTCCTGAAAAGGACGTCAGGATTATGCTCTAAGATTGGATTTACTCACTTAATATAAATAAGTGATAAAGTGTCTTTGTACCCACTGTGCCTGTCTGGCATACTTGTTGCACTTGCCTTACCTGCTTAGGCTTAGGCAGCCAGGCTCTCTTTCTCTAGCATAGTTGGCTAAACCGGACTGCGCGGTGACCGGGTGACGAACTCCTTGTGGTCCGAGTTCACGTCCGGGGGTAGGCAGAAAAGCGACATTTCTCTCAGATTTACGGTTATCATAGAATCAAGGCCGAAGAGTTATGATATCCATAATACCGAGCCTAAGGGTTAACAACTCATGGCTTCTGGATACTAAAAAAAAAACCCTGCTAAGGTGAGATATTATATTGTGTACTGTAGGTTCAGTTTCCAGCAGAGGGAGGTTTCTGATATTGGGTCAGCTCTGATCAGAATATAAAGTGCCCTAATATACTTCTTTTTCTTCTTCACGCTCACCGGCTCGTAAACTCTGGACGAGCTAAACTAGATGGCTGGGACTCACAATCAAAGCTGCAGGAGATGTGGAAGCTGCTGCTCGTGAGTCTAAGTCATCTAGTTTAGCTCTGTGTGTAGCGGCTGGGGAGATAATCTCGGCGGTGGCGGTATAGTCGCCAGAAGTCTGCAGTTTAAGTGGTCGGAAGTTTGCAATTTACTTGTCACTGAGGCCCTGTCAGGGTGTTTTTTTGGCTGTCATAATATGTGACCATTATTCGGAGGATAGCCAACAAGTCTTCTACAATTACATCATGTTATTTCAGGACCACAGTGGTGTTGCCGTTGCATGTATAAATTTAATATGCTTTATCTCAGATGCTCATCTTTCAACATGTCTGCAGTAATTTTCTCCTATATTTTTATTCCACTCTTGATTTTCTCCCTCCATGTAATACAGCCCAGATCTAGGTCAGTACCTGGAAATGCTATGTATGTACGCTCATATTGTCTCATGAAATCAAATAATAAAATGAAACCAACTTCAATTTGACAATACAAAACAGGAAATTGTGATCACAGAAAGAAAGATACATATACAGTTGTAGAAAGTACAAACAGGGGCATCATTTTGATAATGGGAAGGTAGAAGATATGGAAATAATAGCAGGGGTTCACATCTAAATATACAATTAAAGGACATGCACAGGTCTTTAAAAAAATGTGAACACCCCCCCCCCCCCCCAAAAAAAAAAGAGCAACAGTTGCATGATGCCTTCAATCGATAAAAGGGGCAGAAGACTTAAAGGTAAACTGGTAAGGCTGAGGACACCACCAGACTTGTATGAGAGCCAGTGAATATTGATCATGGACACAAAAGGACACCCCTTTACTCCAACCTTTTCTGCCCTTATAATATTTAACAAGAAAAGCTAACAATTATAATGTTGCATTAGTAGATATTGATGTCAAGACACTCATTAATGACAAGGATGCAGTTTGTTTCATTGACTTGTCAGTTTGGTTCTGTCATTATAACAGATTGTTACCGGTACCATCAGTATTGGAACTCTGCGCTAGCTGCTGAAGATAAGGACAGAGCACCCTTGGGAATGCCCCAAGTGCTGTGATGTAAATTCTTAACTGAACTCAACATAAGGTTAATTATTTGATTTGGCCGACATTATGGAAGCCTTAAGTTAGGCAAGCTTATATAAGGACTTGTAATTGCAGTACAGTATTAATAGTCAGAATTCAGGCATGTGGACTGAAGATTCTTGTGGTCAGGGAAGAGCAGCCACCAAGTTTGTGAGGAAGCTCACCAATAAATCTTAAACAGGCACAGTTAGCTGTACATGGGTGGATTTACTCGGAAGAAGATTTGAGGATCTATGGGTTTGTTGTTTGTGCAGAGATGAAAATCTCAGCACAGCTGAACTCAGGGCAAATGTATCTTCAGCATTGCAAACCCTTAAGCTTATTGGCTGCTGATATCACCTGCTTGCATGTATCTCTGTGTCTGGCCGTCTCTTTCCTGTTGGTGACTCCAAACCTTTGCAGGTTTGCCTGTTTATCACCTGTCCATCATCTTCTTGGTTTGCGTTATGGTCTATTCCCATTCCGCTCTTTTGTGTACACAGTTTTTATCTATCTGTTATGCCCCAAGATTGTAGTCTAACTCTTATGATGCCAATAATTGATGATGATTTAAATTAGCCACTATGTTACCAACATTCCTAGTGTTATATATATGTATACTTTATATTTTTAAATAAATATGTGTAATTTTGTTTCACTGTCCCAGGCATACATTGAGTTGAAATAACGCAAAAAGTAAACCTTCTGACGCTGCTGAATTTGAGCCTGCATTTCATTTACACTGTTATTAATTGATATAAACTCCAGAGTGAAAGAAAATGAATGAATCTTCATGCACCAACCTGGCCAAGTGCTTGTTGATGTTTACAGGAGTTTGCTACCTGGTCAGTATGCCAGTTTGTTGTTTCATTAGTTTGAACATAGTCATGCTGTCACTTGTGTTAGAAGTTTTAAGTGGCCACAATTTTGAGGTAAGCCCCATATTTTGTAATTCGCTTGATTTATTTGCCCGGTTTTGCACAGGATAGTTAAAGAAAGTCTTATTTTGCTATCGTCTACGTCATCTTGTTCTCCACTGCAGCCCTATATGTAGGCTTAGTGTACATAAGAATCTTACTAAAACCCTATATTTAATATCCTATCTTCTACTTCATCTTTGTCTCCACAGCTATCATATCTTTAGTCATTGCCCCAAAGTGCACCTGAGGCATTCCCTGTAATATCAACACCTGAGTTTAACAGTTTGGTAGAGAGACAGATGTATTGTCTCGGACAGTATAGATATATGGTTTCAAGGAGGATAGCAGAAAAATACAACTGTTAAAAATTTCAAGGGTTGAATGTAGTATTAAGAATAATTATCACAGCACTCGGGACACTCCCATAAGTACTCCGTCCCAATCTTCAGCAGCAAGTGAAGAGTTTCAGTTCTGATGGCATCAGTAGCCGTCTGATTGTATATCCGTCTCTTCCTTCCCCTGAGTGTTGAGCATCGGCCACATCCCCTGGTAACTCCTCGCAGAGCCATTCTCTAATTTCAAGGGGTAATGGGGAAAAAAGGTTCAAAGCAATATAACTCCAGCTGAAGTTTACTTTTACTGATTGTCACAATAAAAAAAAAAAGAAATCCACAATAACCTGGGCTGCCAATGTGACTGTTAAATTAAGCATTGTGGTCCTAATAGCAAATGAAAATTTAACCCATGTATTGTTAACAGTTTGGGATGAGTTAACACTTTGTTTATAATAGACACACAAAATACAGAAAGGGTTTGTGATTTGTAGTATAGATATTGATCATGCTTGTAGCACAGCTCTCTTCTTCATTGCGTACGTTGATATCACACCCAGGTTTGTCTTTAGGTTTGCTACTGGAGGAGTCGATTGGAAGATTATAGACAAGGAGAAAGATGGTCGTGTTGATAGTGGTTATGATGACGATGATGTCTTGCTTGCTGCATGCTTCTCACGTGACTCTGGTGCTTGTATAATAAAATGGCTGGAAACAACAGCTCTTGTCTATACTGTCTTTATTGTGATACTTCAACAATGTCACAAATACATCAATGATATTCTTAATAGCGCTGTGTTCTCTCTATGGTTACGTACTGTTGAGGTCGCATTGTGTTCATACTCTTGAGGTCGTGTTGTGTTCTTTATCTCTAATTACTTTGTTAACTGGTTCTAGTGTCTCTAACTGCCACCTGGCTTCTAGTGCTGTCTGGTACTAATGGCTTGATCGTCGACTTTAACATCTCAACAGTGTTCCTACCTAATGTGTCTCTGTTAACCATGGATCTATGTATCTTGTGTGTTGTCTCTGTAGCTCGATGTCTCTTTTCATGTCTGCTCTCTAGTGACTGTCTTCGAGGCTCAAAATGACCGGCTGCTCTCCTTCTAGTGTTGAGTTAGCAACTGCGAGGATCATCGACACTAGTCGCTCGTCCTCTGAGTCTCAATGACTGAAGGCATCCTCCGAGTTGAGCTGACATCTCTACAAGTGAAGGCTGCTTTTAGAGTCAATATGACTGGTCCCTTCTCTCTTGAGTCTTGTGGACTGAAGAATTGCTAAGGTGCTTTGTTGCTCGTTATTTATACTTGAATGCTGGAATGCTAGGTATTTGTTTTCTTCTCGCTCTTTCTGCTTCTAGAATATTCTAGTACGTCTCAACTTGTTTACTAGGTAGGTTCTCACGTGGGATTTTCTAAAAATATCTTGATTGCATCGGATTTCATCATCCTATTCTATGCAGATATAGTAGTTAAACTGACGATTGACGTCAATAGACTCCTACAAAACAAGTGCTACAAGGTTCTCTCTGAACGGGCAAGGCCAACAATAACGTCAAATACTATTTATAAAAATTGTTTCTAAAACTTGTTGTCTTTTCTTATCAAATACAACGCAAAATACTATTTCCTAACAAACAAGTAATGACGTCAATTTTCAGTTTTGGCGGGAAAAATAAAGCTTACCAAAACTTGTTGATTCCCTTTCATCCTAGCTTTGCGCCTTCTAACAAACAAGCTATGTAACTCTGTTACAAGCTGGCTGCCTTTACTTCCTATGATATTTTTTTCACAATGATTTTTGGTTGCATTAAAATGAAAGCTGAGGTCATTAAAGCAAAATCTGCTTGAACTGGAGTGCGAACTGACGTTGATGTTATGTTATTTGGCTGAAGTTTGTGCAGACCTGATTTACATCACTGCATGGCCAATTGTATGTTTAAAAGTAGGGTATGACTTGTATTACACATACAACATCAATTATACACGCATGCCAGGTGCCGACCAATCAACATTAACCAGAAGTAAACACATGTAGTTTAATTTCAAATATATGCATCTGTTTCCATTTGTAAACAATCCTGGTTTGCATAGTTCATAGCAAATACAGTAACTTCTTCTTCTGCTTCTTCTTCTTCTTCTTCTTCTGCTTCTGCTTCTTCTTCTTCTTCTTTATGTCACGAGCTATAAACTTCGACCTAAAGTTCTGGCTGTTCATCCCTTTCTGCATCTTGTCTTGTTTCAGAACTTGAGTTTTGCATGCAAATCAATTTAACAGATCTGGCTTATTTGTAAGCAGACTGTTGATTCCTTGCCTCAGGCATATGCTTCTTCTTCTTCTTCTTTTACTCTTCCACCTTGTGCCTCAACGAAGTGTCGGGGGAGATGTAACAGTTGTTTATGAGCTCTGTTTAGAGCACTTTTAAGACTGATGTTCATTTCTGTAAGGCTGTTCTTAATGCCATCACTCCATATTTTCCGAGGTCTTCCACTCACTTTATACCCGTTAAAATGTTGCAGTGTGGCTCGCTGTGGCAGATAGTACCAGGGCAGATGCACTCTGATGAAAATACCTCTACTTATTTGACTTTTACGACATGCTTGTTAGGGGGCAGTGTGTCTAATCTTTTTACCCACCCAAAATGGGACCCTGAAACCCACACAGGGAACAGTAACCATGCAGCTCCTAAATCATAGGACTCAAGACCTCCCTGTCTGCACTGCCCTAAAACGTGGTAGACACGGTAAAGACTTAAAAAAAAAACCCCATTGAGTCCCAAATACTTGTTACTTTAGCTGTGCCTAATCCAAGGATTTGAGCTTAACAGCGGCATGTGCTGAGGTCTGATAGAGTTCTATGGACAGAAGTAATTAGACGAATAATACAGATACAGAGAGATTATGCAACTTTTGTCTGATAGAAGGCAACATGAAAATTATATCATGATTGGAATGAAGAAGAAATGCATGATGAGTTGTTTGGTACTGAAAAAGTTAAAAACATATTAATTAATTAATATCTTATATCAGATATATAATTAGTGTTTTAAATGTTCAGTTTTGAATTATTGTTTTAAATGTTAAGTTTTGAATTAGTGTTTCAAATGATGGATCTTGTGTATATTGAGTTACATACTTTTTTTTTTTCTCCAGATTTCTGCTGGTGGCTTGTCCTATGTTGGCATTTGGGCTTTCAGTACTTATGATCACTTTGATGAAATTGCTGATGCCACAATCACTCTGTTCCCGGCCAGTATCATTCTTGGTGTCAGTGCTTTCATGTGCATCATTGGAATCCTGGCCTTTGTTGCAGCATTTAGGAGCAACAAGATATTGCTGTCTGTGGTATGAGATATATCCATTTAACGTTGTTTTTATTTAGGTAGAACACAACAGCCAGGGGCTGTTAGGGTTGGTTCTGCAACGTCCTGTAAAGGAATCACAACTAACCTATTTAGGTAGAATAAAATAGAAAATTGTATATCCGTGCCAGGGCATTCAAGGAAATGAGCAAGCTGAGGGGCTTGCAGTTAAAACTACTGCGGAGTGTGGATGTGCCTTGAACCAGGGTGATATACTGAATGCTCTACGAGAAGTAGGACGTTTGTGAGAGCCGAATGATGACTGTGAATCTGTAACCGTGATGAGACTGCAAGAATAGCATATTAAAAAAACTGTGGCCAGATAAGAGCATTATGTACAGAGGTTTGATGTGCGGTATTTTGGATTTACGAACCACTTTCACAATGTCTAAGTCACAGACGCTGACCAGTAAAGTATAATGGATCATTTTACACACAAGTTAAAAAAAGAAAAAGTAAAAGACCTTCCCCACACATATAGGGCTAGACCCATATTTTTTTAAAGACCAATTGGCACTCAAGGATGAAATTAGGAAACATCATACAGGTCACCTTTACTTTCCCGGACTTTACCTAGTACCCATTTAAGTTTGGGTCAGCCTGGGAGCAAAGGTCATTTTTGAAAAAGTCCAGCTATGTTTGAACCCGCGACCTTTTGGATATGCAGGCAATCGTTTTACATACCACAGCACAACATATTTTGTATCTGATGCTAGCTGAATGTTTTTAGATGAGTTACCACACTCCCATACTCACCCACATTGGACTGCAGGATGTTTCATAGCCATTTAGTTATAAGGGTTGAACAGGGTTTCTGGTATATGCTGTTGTTGAATTCTCATCCAAATAGCAGAGTCACTGGATATTATTCTCTCATGCTGCACTCATAGAGGGTGGAAACCCAGTTAGCAGTCAATGGGGGCTGTCATTCAGAGCTTTGTTTACAGAGATTGTTCCAAGGAAATCAGAAAGAGACTGGGCATCGCAGTTTTAGAATGTTGCATTCTGCCTATACTGACATGTGTCGGGAATCTCAAACCCTGAAAACCAAGTATAGAAAAATTCTAGAGACTACAGAAGGGTGCAGAGTGCAAAGAATTCCATGGATGGCCAATAAGTCTGTTAGTTGGAGAATTTTTAAAAAAGTTAAGGACCTTGTATGTCAGTGATGTGTCAGACGAATAGTGTGGACTCATATTGTTATAGATCAATCGGCACTTCATGGATGATGTGGTTGACAGTACACCAGCTGCCTTTACTTCCCATAACTTTACCTCTTACCCATTTTTAGGTTTGTTCAGGGAGGCAGAGTCATTTTTGCTGATACCTTGCCAGTGCATGTCATGATGTCTGAGACATCAGCCGGTACCATCAGTATTGGAACTCTGCACTGGCTGCTGAAGATAAGGACGGAGCATGCATGGGAATGCCCCTGAGTGCTGTGATGCCAATTCTTGACTCAGCTCAACTCAACTGAGACATCAGTGTGCTCCTTGGTCAGGCTGAGGTTGAAAAACAATAAAAAGCCTAGTCTGTAGACTACATGGTTGGTGACTGCTTGCTCAAGCTGCATTTCTCAGTTCAGAAGTAAAGTTTCTGATGCACACCAGCAGTGTTCGGATATCTCAAAGAAAAGAAACCAAGAAATGGTCACAAACAGTTGCATGGGGACATTTACAAATGTTATGCAAACACATCCCCCTGATGGTTCTGCGGGTCTCTTTTTTGGAGAAAAAGAATAGACTGCTTTCCTGACAAGCACATCATACTAGGTGGCTAACTACAGGTTTTCTTAATCTGGATGTTTTGTGCTAAAAGGTGTAGATGTTTTGGCCATTCTGTAAATGACAGTGCAGTGTGCTGACTACCCTTTTAAGAGTGAACATAGAAGAATGTGATGAAAACAAACATGAGTCACATTTCTTCAATCTCATTTCAGTTTTTCTGTCTGATTTTACTGGTCTTTGTTGGAGAAGTTGTGGCCAGCATTTTGGGATTAGTGTACAGAAATCAAGTAAGTGGCCAGTTGTTTCAGTCAGTTGTTCACAATCTGTCAATGCAGGTAAAGTAGAAGTTATATTTAAAAACAAACCCTGATGCACTCTTCTGTGCGAAACAAGTAATTGATTACAAACCAGAACATTTCAGTATCATCTAAGGAAACTAAAATGGATCTTAATTTTATCCACAGCTTACTAAAGCAGGTTGAACAAAATGAAAGATTTTTCTCCTGAAAGTAAAGTTAAAAACAAGTTACAAAAGCTGTTTTATGTGCAATTTTCAGTACAAATTCTTCATACATTCTGACTTTTATATCTATACCCCTATCCTTACACCACTACCTGAATTGGTGTATCACTTCACATCCAGATACAGGGTCTCACTGAAGATTATATTAATGTTTACTCCTTCTATTTCCATTACTCTTGTCTTTTCCCCTTGTATATCTCCAGACCTTACTATTGTGATTTTCCATCATCATGTACCTTGCCAGCTGGCATAGGTGTTCATGCGTCTCCACAGATCTCGGTCTGTGGTGTTCTGGATCAGTTCCATTGAGGATATTCCTCCATGCCACTTTCTCAGACCATCTACCATCATTTCTCTTGGGATGCCTCTGCCTCTTCTACCAGTGATCTTTCCAGTCTCACGATATTTTCCAATGCTCCCTTCCTCATCACATGACCAAAGAACTGTTTATCTCCTTCTCATTGTTGTATATAATGTTCTACTTTCATTAGCCATTTCCAGGCATTCACTGTTGGTTATTCTGGCAGTCCAAGGTATTCGCAACATTCTTCTCAATAACCACATCTCAGCCGCCTCTAAACTCTTCTTAATTTGTTTGCTCACATTCAAAGATTTACTGCCAGACACCAGAATAGGCTCGATATAACGTTTAAGTACTTGTTTTCTAATGTTTAATGAGAGTTATTTATTACATAAGATACTTTTCATCTTCTGAAATGATGCCTTTGCCTGGCCAATTCTGCTAGTTATTTCTGTCACACATTGTCCATCTGATATTATTATGAATGTCCTCAGATACTTTAATTTATTGACTTGGTTAAGCCATTTTTCTTCTATTGCTATGTCACATTTTAGAGTTATCTTCTTCTTTGATATAACCATTGTTTCTGTTTTCTTGACATTCAAGGAAGGCCCTTTTTTTTTGCACTCTCTAGTACCACAATCTCTTATAGTTGTTGGAGCTCTTCTGCGTTTTCAGCTGTTAATACTACTGTATCATCTGCATAACAAAGATTGACTGTGCATGAATTCTTGGGAAGATAAGGTGATGGTTTCCCCGTTGCCTTCCACATCCACATGGGGGTCTTTTACCTCTACCTTTGACAGTAATTTCCGACTGTTAGGTTAAGTGAATGCCCTGCTTTGCTCAGCTGCAGAGTTGTCCCCTTATTCCGGAAGACTCTCGGTCCCCAGAGCTGCATTTGCCACACTTTTGTGTGTTGCCCATCCTCTGCCATGCGGAGGTGCAGCTGGGATTGTCTCTTCACTGAGTTATGCGACCATAATGGCATTTCCCAAACTCTCTGGTACTTTAGAGGATTTTCCATCAGATATGTTTAATTCAACAGTCTGCATTCAAGTGAATCAGATCTGTAAAACTGATGCACACGCAACACTCAGGTTCTGGAGTAGGACTGCAGTTCAGAGGTGGACGAACAACCAGAACTTTCCACCAGAGTGTACAGCTGGTGAACGCGAAGAAGAAGAAGTATGCATCTAATTTCTTGAGTGTGACAAGAGGACAATGTCATCAGGGAAGTCCAAATTATTGAGCTGCACTTTAGATCCATTCATTCGTCAGCTTTCAGTGAATCAATTCATAGATCGTCTAGGATAAGAGACTTTCCTCATCTTGATGGGCTAAAAAGTTTTTATTTCAGTTTATAGATTTGTTCATAATTGGTTGCCTTTTATGGCCGAATCTTTTTTTAAATTTTTTTTTAATGGAATTGGTTAGCCAACCCCACGATAGAGTCTGCAGTTAGTCTTTACTAGCTATTACAATCATTCAAGTGACCCACTTAAAAACGAAAGTAGAGATCGCTTAGTTACAAGATGGAGTCGGTGATCCAAGAAAAATGGCTCCTTTGCGTATCCGTTACTTTGAAATCCCGTCGCTTAATACTGGCTGTTCCGAATCGAATATGTGGGCTCAAAGTTATTCAGAAAAGGTCGCTCAACCAATCGACACCTAACTTACATAGCGATCTTTGTTCAGCCAAATAAATTTCACTATTTGCCATGCGGGAAGTAAATTTCTTTAATATCTCCTTTTTAAAGTGAATATATATACTAGGAATTGTCATTTTTGGATTCTGCGTCCATTTTTACATAAATATGGGCAGTTTTGCTGGAATCTGTACATCACAAAATTTAAACTTTTAATTTCTTCCCGGTTACTTCTTTAAAGCTGAATCGGCGATTTTTCAAAATGGCTACCGCATAGCCTAAACAAACTGTTTATCTCAGATTAATTAATCTAGTTATTTATAAAAACAGTTAAAAAATAATGCCAGTTTTATTTGTATTAATAATTTACCTTTCTTTGACTTTAATTTCACATGAGTTTTAATCATTTTAAATACCTGAAAATAATGTTTTAGCACGTTTTTAACATAGACTATTTCTAGGGTATTTTGCGTTAAAAATAGACACAGACAGTGGTTTAAATATTTTATAATAATAGTTTCAAATGAATATAAAGTAGTTATTTAATCATTTTTTGAATCTTTAGCCATTATAGCATTTTTTAAGCCATAACCTATCATTGGGCATGAACAACATTTTTTGTTTGAAGCCTTTTTACCTGTTGACCCCCACTCCCCGCACCCAGACTAACATTTTGGACGCAGACAGTGATTTAAACATTTTATAATATACTTTTAAATGAATATATAGTAGTTATTTAATCATTTTTTGAATCTTTAGCCATTATAGCATTTTTTAAGCCATAACTTATCATTAGGCATGAATAACATTTCCTGTTGAAGCCTTTTTATAAAAATATAATGTAATTTTTTCCTCTACCTTTATGAAATGCTGCTCCATGAAAACACAACATAAATCCGAAGCGAATTACATCTCCATGAAAACACAACATAAATCCAAAGCGAATTACAAAGGAGCTTATTAATAATTTTACTCCATGAAAAACATAGCACTGAGTCACAAATCGGGCATGAGCGGTTACCTTCGATTATTTTGAACAAGTAAATAAAATATCAAGCAGTGACTAGTTAAGAAGAAGAGGGGAACAATGTGGTGAAATGTCTCATCATCAATAAAATGAAAGAATAACTCGCAAAGATTGAAAAAGGGATTATGTTAAATCAGTAAGAGGGGCGCTCATTTTCATTTGGTTATAAAACAATATAGGAATATAGGGGTCTCCGTATCAAAGTGGTCAAGCCGTTAACCTCGCGCTCGGAAGATTGTTGTACGTTCATTTACAACTGCATTGTTCGACTCGAAAATGCATTTTTTTGGTTAGCGGAGACCTCTGAGGGCTGTTGCTGGAGCTACGGTATCCAGGTTTTGTGCTAAGCTCTCGGCATGCGTTATTTTTTCAGTATTGTGGAGAAATACAAAGCCATATAAAATCAGTAACGATGCAATGAAGTCAATCCACTCGCTATTAAATATTTTTTAAACAGTGGAATAAAGAAAATTTTGGTCAGATGTATGCACACACACAAACATACACACACACACAAATGAGAGTGCGAGAAAAAGCATTTTTCAACAAATAGAAAAAGATGCATCATAACAGGAAGAATAGATATAAAAGTATATATATATATTACAGTATACGTCTTGCAAGACTCACTGGATAATTAATAATAATTAATTCATAAGGTATTTAATGAATACTGATAAATTTACTCATTTTTATGTTATTTAGGTTTGCATCACATCATATTTTTAAAAAGGCAACAACTTTAGTTAGAGCTTGCTGTCCTGAAAGCAATGACATATGGTTGCTAAGGGGTTCAGCAAAAAACTTGAGAGTTATTGACATTAAACATGATAAATTTAGGTCCAGTTCTCACTTGGGAACACGCCGCCATCTTGTTTTTGTGTTTTCCATTATAATTTTTTGAGGGCACTTTCCGTCACTGAAATGGGAATATCTCCGCTTAGAATTGACATACAGACTTCATTGAGGTACCGTTGGACTCAGTTTTTCAACCTCTATTCAGCTGTCTTGGTTTAAAAGTAAAAAACCTAAAATAAAAATTTTGACTAAAATCCCTTTACTTCTCCTAAGGCCCAGCAACACATGGACAGCAGCAAAATACATTGAGCAATAAATTGTATAATCTGTTGTTTGTCTTTATTATATATGTTAAAACTGATATTTAAAGTAATTTGATATCTAGCTTGCATTAAACAGTTCTCCACATTCCATGATCCCTCCATGTACCATGATCGCTCCATGTACCATGATCCCTCCATGTACCATTATCCATCCATGTACCATGATCCCTCCATGTACCATTATCCCTCCATGTACCATTATCCCTCCATGTACCATTATCCATCCATGTACCATTATCCATCCATGTACCATGATCCCTCTATGTACCATGATCCCTCCATGTACCATTATCCCTCCATGTACCATTATCCATCCATGTACCATTATCCATCCATGTACCATGATCCCTCCATGTACCATTATCCATCCATGTACCATGATCCCTCCATGTACCATTATCCCTCCATGTACCATTATCCATCCATGTACCATGATCCCTCCATGTACCATTATCCATCCATGTACCATTATCCATCCATGTACCATTATCCATCCATGTACCATTATCCCTCTATGTACCACTATCCCTCCATGTACCATGATCCCTCTATGTACCATTATCCCTCCACATACCATTATTCCTCCACATACCATTATTCCTCCATGCAACATAATCCCTCTATGTACCATTATCCATCCATGTACCATTATCCCTCCACATACCATTATTCCTCCATGTAACATAATCCCTCTGTGTACCACTATCCATCCATGTACCATTATCCCTTTATGTACCACTATCCCTCCATGTACCATTATCCCTCCATGTACCATTATCCCTCCATGTACCATTATCCATCCATGTACCATTATCCCTCCACATACCATTATTCCTCCATGTAACATAATCCCTCTATGTACCACTATCCCTCTATGTACCACTATCCCTCTATGTACCATTATCCCTCCATGTACCATTATCCCTCTATGTACCATTATCCCTCCACATACCATTATTCCTCCACATACCATTATTCCTCCATGTAACATAATCCCTCTATGTACCATTATCCCTCTATGTACCATTATCCCTCCATGTACCATTATCCCTCCACATACCATTATTCCTCCACGTAACATAATCCCTCTATGTACCATTATCCCTCTATGTACCATTATCCCTCTATGTACCATTATCCCTCTATGTACCATTATCCCTCCACATACCATTATTCCTCCATGTAACATAATCCCTCTATGTACCATTATCCCTCTATGTACCATTATCCCTCTATGTACCATTATCCCTCCACATACCATTATTCCTCCATGTAACATAATCCCTCCATGTACCATTATCCCTCTATGTACCATTATCCCTCTATGTACCATTATCCCTCCATGTACCATTATCCCTCTATGTACCATTATCCCTCTATGTACCATTATCCCTCTATGTACCATTATCCCTCTATGTACCATTATCCCTCCACATACCATTATTCCTCCATGTAACATAATCCCTCCATGTAACATAATCCCTCTATGTACTATTATCCCTCTATGTACCATTATCCCTCTATGTACCATTATCCCTCCATGTACCACTATCCCTCCATGTACCATTATCCCTCTATGTACCACTATCCCTCCATGTACCATTATCCATCCATGTACCATTATCCCTCTATGTACCATTATCCACCCATGTACCATTATCCCTCCATGTACCATTATCCACCCATGTACCATTATCCCTCTATGTACCATTATCCATCCATGTACCATTATCCCTCCATGTACCATTATCCACCCATGTACCATTATCCCTCTATGTACCATTATCCATCCATGTACCATTATCCCTCCATGTACCATTATCCATCCATGTACCATTATCCCTCTATGTACCATTATCCACCCATGTACCATTATCCCTCCATGTACCATTATCCACCCATGTACCATTATCCCTCTATGTACCATTATCCATCCATGTACCATTATCCCTCCATGTACCATTATCCACCCATGTACCATTATCCCTCTATGTACCATTATCCACCCATGTACCATTATCCACCCATGTACCATTATTCCTCCATGTACCATGATCCCTCCATGTACCATTATCCCTCCATGTACCATGATCCCTCCATGTACCATGATCCCTCCATGTACCATGATCCCTCCATGTACCTTGATCCATCCATGTACCATGATCCCTCCGTGTACCATGATCCCTCCGTGTACCATGATCCCTACTTGTACCATTATCCCTCCATGTACCATTATTCCTCCATGTACCATTATCCCTCCATGTACCATTATCCCTCCATGTACCATGACCCCTCCATGTACCATGACCCCTTCATGTACCATTATCCCTCCATGTACCATGACCCCTCCATGTACCATGACCCCTTCATGTACCATTATCCCTCCATGTACCATTATCCCTCCATGTACCATTATCCCTCCATGTACCATTATCCCTTCATGTACCATGACCCCTCCATGTACCATGATCCCTTCATGTACCATGACCCCTCCATGTACCATGATCCCTCCATGTACCATTATCCCTCCATGTACCATTATCCCTTCATGTACCATGACCCCTCCATGTACCATTATCCCTCCATGTACCATGATCACTCCATGTTCCATGATCACTCCATGTTCCACCCTTATAATTCTTTGGTTGAGTTATGGATTAATTTCATGTATTTAATCTTTACCAAGGTGGAAGATGTTCTGGAGGATGATCTGATAAACGCTGTCAACAAGTACAACCTGACTGCCTACAAAGAGCAGATGGACTTTCTGCAGCAGAAGGTAGAACAACATCCTTTCCTGCTTAATATTATTGCATGATTTTTAAAACATAACTTTTATTATATAGTTTTATTTAGAGTACATCTCCCATTCTCTACAACTGTATATCACATTTGTGCTGACTTTTATCAATCCATGTTATTATGCTTCACAGTCCATTTTCTTCTCTCTGTGCCTTCCTCAGTTTCTTTATTTTATTACTCTTACTGGTTGTCTCAGTATGCTACAGATTTTCTTTTATCAAGATGCAGTAACAAAAATAGTGTGATCCCTGTTGGGATTGCTGTGATATAATGTGTTCATCATCATCGTGTTTCCTGCCAACGGGCGTAGGCGCTCATGCGTCTTCCCAGATCAGTATCCCTGGTTGCCTGGAACAGCTCTCTTGGTGATATCCCTCCATGCCATTATTTCAGCCCATCCAGCATCATCTCTCTTGGTCTGCATCTACTCCTCTTTTCACTGATCTTTCCAGTTATCACTATATTCTCCAATGTCTCTCTTCTCATTATGTGGCCAAAGAACAGTGTTTGTCTCTTTCTTACTGTTGTATATAGAGATCTACTTTCATTAGCCTCTTTCAAGCAATTGTTGTTAGTTACTCTGGCCGTCCAAGGTATTCGTAACATTCATCTCAGAAACCACATCTATGCTGCTTCCAAATTCTTCTTAATTGATTTGTTCACTGACATTCCAAGATTCGCTGCCATACAGCAGAACAGGTTCTATGATGTGTTGGGTGGTGAAAATGGGCAGATAGTGCAGCCTAGCTGTAAACCACAAAACAACGCGTCAACCACCCTTTAGAGGGCAAACACAGAAAAATAAGAAGACAGAAATGGTGTGATTACACAGAAGGAAATTCTAAATATTGTTTCTTTCTCAGTTTGCATGCTGTGGTGTGCACAGGGCCTCGGACTGGGAGAACTCTGAATATTGGAAAATGAATCACACAGACACTGTCCCTACTTCATGCTGCAATGTTACCTTTGTCACCTGTAATGCTACATTGAATTCAGACACCATATATCAAGAGGTAAGTCAAAAGTTATGACTGTTCATAGCCTTTTAATTTAAGACATGGCATTTAATAATGACATAACTAGAGATTTATTGGCAGAAGTAAGAGGGAAAGCCAGACATACATAATTAGCAGGGGGAGGGGGGGGGGCATAGATGACCACTAGGCGAGTCAGGGAGGTTCTGCTATAATTAGCACAAGATGTTATGCAGTCTCAGGGGGATTTCCCAGTGTGAAGCTGTAAATTTTTGATGGGACAACATCAAGAACATGTGAGTAAGGTTAACAGTGTCTGGTGTGTGCACGTCATGACTTAACAGGATTAAATACGCCAACTTGTGTTCTTTTGACACAGGTCAGTTTTTCTTTTTTCAACATGGCTCAGTTAGTAGCTGTGCAGTGCTGAGTGCTAGAGAAGCAACTTTGGTACAGCAGTGCTGAGTGCTAGAGAAGCAACTTTGGTACAGCAGTGCTGAGTGCTAGAGAAGCAACTTTGGTACAGCAGTGCTGAGTGCTAGAGAAGCAACTTTGGTACAGCAGTGCTGAGTGCTAGAGAAGCAACTTTGGTACAGCAGTGCTGAGTGCTAGAGAAGCAACTTTGGTACAGCAGTGCTGAGTGCTAGAGAAGCAACTTTTGTTGCAATCATATGTTAAGTTGAGAGCATTTCCTGTAGTGATTCCTTGATTGTAAATAGAGTGCAGTTAAGCTACCAGCTAGTGTGTTAGCAAGCAAATGCCCTGGAATCATCCCTAGACAGAAGATTAGAGACTGAGGACAGGCAGATGACTTATTTTAGAACCTGAAAATAAATGGATTAACTGGAACAGTGGATTTTGTGTTGTAGATGAATTGGCATGGTGATAGTGCTACCTATGTCTCACTGTTCAAGACAATCTCTGGGATGTAGCTAATTCTGAATCCATGTAATGTGAAGTCGTTACACATCTACTAATGTATTTCTATTACCTTGGCGATTATCATAGGATTTATTCAAGATCTGTTAAAAACACCCCTACCTTAATTTTTCTCCTGGAAACCAAAAACCAAAAAGAGAAAAAAGAAAAAACTTCAGGTGTCCTTTGGCAGTAAGGATATAGGGTACTTTTATATGCATGCACACATTTTTACCCATCCACAGAGAGTATCAGTTGTTGGCAGATAGTCAGTATGAGTGTTGTAAATGCCCACTCGATTTTCATTTGGTATGAAGTGAAGGAAATATCTGATTAGCTGTGTTGGGGAAAATTTTGCCAAAAGCTGGGTGATACCAAGTGGAAACTACTTATGAAAGACAACAGACTTTTTGCAGTGGTGCCATGAACGTCAACCAAATTAAGGTTTTGTAAGATTGCTAAAAAAAAAAAAAAAAAAAGCCAACCACTGCACATTGGTTGAGATAGGACCACTTTTTAGTAGGCCCCCAACACGCTGAATTGACAAGACTATTGACAAAGTTCAGAATTTGGTCATGCAGATTGCGCCACATCCAATGACTGGTTTTTATTACAAAAGATATGCTTTTTAAGAAACACTGCTGAAAAGTATACTAATAGCTGTTCCCCCCTCCCCATATTCTACAGGGTTGCTTGGATAAACTCAACAGTGAATTTAGCCAGAACCTCATTTACTTGACTGGCACTGCCATCTTCCTTGTGGTTGTACAGGTAATAGCAAATTTGTTGTTGCTTCCATAATAGTTGTTTACAAATGTGTTTATCCCCATGTGGGTTCTTGACACCATTTTTACATTTTTGAGTGAGGAAAAAAAATAGCGGATCCATTACTCCTTAACCGATATGTCATGAAAGGTGACTGCTGAAGGATTTGCTGAAACCAGATGTATTGGGCCGAAAGTCACATATATCACAGCCTAGCTTTAAACCATGACATATCATATATTTCCTCCAAATTCTTTACAGTTACTCTGGTTTACACTACAACTTAGTAAAGGACAGATGGGATTACCGAAGAACAGAAGCTGTACTGATGTGAAATTCACATGTTATTCACACTCAGACAATTAATGGAAAGAATTTGATAAAGAATTGCACGTTGCCTTTGTAGACTAAGAGAAAGCTTTCGATCGAGTCAATAAGAACAAATTACGGAAGATACTACAGGATGCTGTGAAAAAATATGAATCGACAACATTCAAGACAATCTAGGTCTTCACGACAAGACAGTTGCCAGCGGCAGCCAGCGTGCACTGGATCACAAATTATTCCTCCTTGTGACGCTTAATGGCAAAAGTGGTTAGTGATGATGATGATGACTGCAAGATTACTGAGTAAATGAACATATGAAATTGTGCAAGAGTTTTCACGTTAACAGTCAATGTGCAGTTAGAGCAAATATAGGAATCTCATAGATGTTTCACATTAGATCTGGAGTGAGACAGGTATATTTTATCACAACTGCTGTTCATCACATGCGTCGAACAAATTTGCAGATCGATGTGAATAAAATGATGTATGAAAGAAGGGAGACTAGAAGGGCAGAATGTTAGATGGACCTGCATGACCAGCTCTTACACCTTTAGAAATAAAGTTTGTTTGTTCATTCCTTAACAACGTGTAAACTGTCCTTTTAAGGGCAAACACAGAATAGATTTTTATTGATACCGATACAGAATATGTCAGCTAGAAGAAGGAACTATGTTCTCTTAGGTCCAAACGTGTGGGGAATACTGGAACTCATATCTGAGTTCTGGTGCACGACAACATCATTCACTTATGAGAACAAGATGTCAGGATCAAATAGTATTTTACAAGTCAAACTGATCTCATTCAGTAATTTTGTAGTCAGCCTTTGTTGTTGACTTTCATTTTATCTTTTCATAAAATATTGTAAATAATATAAAGTACTAGAAATTATCAACTTAAAGTCAGATGATTAAGTTGAGTTGAGCCGAAAATTGACATCACAGCACTATTCCCATGCATGCTCCATCTTCATATGATTAAAGAATGATGAACATAAAGAGAATGAGAAGTGTAGAAATAAGTTCAAAAGTGAAGTATAAATGACACAAGAAATATCAAGATATTTTGAAAGCGTTCTTACCAAAATGAAAGAAGACTATAAGACTTAATAAGCATTGTTTTTGAGATAACTGCTGTAGAAGTAATTACATTTGTTTTATTTACTTCTCTTGCCACAGTTCCTGGCTCTGCTCAGCACATGCATCTTAGTGTGCAGAACAAGAGAGGAACAGCAGTACCAGTCCCTGATTGAAGACATCGGAGGACACTTGACAATTTAGTATTAACGTATGCAACTTTATAATAATGTGTACACAAGAGACATTACTCTTTGCATACAAGCAAAACAGTTGGGTTTCATCACAGAAATGTCCCAATTAGATTTTTAGCATGTAAACAAACCAATTGTGGTTTCATCACATTAAAAAAAAAAGCGGGTATTTTGTAGTCATTTTGTGGGTGGCAGTTTTCAACATTTTATGTCCACCATCGCAGACTAACTGCATTCTTTCTGTGGGGTATCTATTAAAAACTATCAGAATATATTGAAATTTGGTTGACTTTATATTTTAACAAGCACCTTTGAAAAAGCTATCAGAAATTTAGTATTTCTCTTAAAAATTGCAGTTTGGCAATATGTTAACAAATTTGTATTTATAAGTAAAGTGTATGTAAAGTTGAAAAATTCTTGTATAAAAAAAAAATAGAATAGTTTTTTTTTTAAAGTTTAACGATGCTAAACAAATTTAATCTATCCATGTGATCCCTGACTCCATTATTATGACTCCTGAGGGCGACATGGAGCAGAGGTTGACAACTCTTGATTTTTTTGTTTCATTTCAGTATGCAGAAAGAAAAAATACTATTTTTTTATATACTGAGGAATAATTTTTTTGGGGTATAGCATGGAAGAGCCATTAATTTGGTTGTTGGTATGTTGGGGTTGACATGCCAGCTTGGCATCTGGTGTAGAGAATTAATGACTGTATATATTTTTGGTTCTCCAGAGAATTTGTATTTGTGATATTTCCACACCCATGCAACACTTTATTCATTATGATGATATTTTGTTTCACAGTTAGTTCCAGTTATAAATTTTAATTGTACTTTTGTATGTGTACCCTTGTTATGTTTATTTAAAGAATTTAAATGACTCCACTTTTGATATTTATTTCATGCAACTATTTCACTTCCAGATTTAGTCTTTTTGATCTTCTTTACTCATAATATATAATCCAATCAAGCATTTTTAGCTTATTTAAAAAAAAAAATTTGCATTTGTGTGGCTGTGGAATATTAAAAGCAAGATGCTAAATAATGAGAATATCGACCCCTTCAAGTGATATCATGGCATAGTTGTTTGCACACTTGCTTGCCAAGACAGTGGGCTAGGTTAAGTCTTCAAACCAGTGAGGCTTTGAGGCTGACTCAACTTCATAAAATGTGTACTGTTGTTACTACCTCTCTCTATATTGCTATAATTTGGGTGTATGTCAGCAACCCTACAGTTTTCTAGACCAGTTTACACTGGATGGGTGGTCACCACATGGCTTTTCTTCCTAGAACACTCTCAGGTGCCTGATTGATGCTGGTTTTATCTGAGAGTTTAGGTCCCTTAAATAAAATCTTCACTTCATCAAACACCTAGCTGCTAGGTTAGTAGGCAAGCTCACTGACTAACTGCTAACACTGGCTCCTGTAATAATGATATTAAGTTATAATTTATTAAAATTACAAATTAAATTTAAATAATTTTAAAGAAAATGTATTTGACATGAAACTTTATGTGGATATAAGATAAAAAGAAGACGATGGAGAGATAATGCCCAGACAGACCTGCAAACACTTGATGTCACAAACTGGAAAGATAAGGCCACCAGAGAGATGAATGGAGGCTGGTGATATCTGCAGCAATAAACCTCAAGGGCTCAGAATGCTAAAGAAGAAGAAGAAGAATATAAGATAGAAATGTATCCATTACATCATCTTTCACATGTTTTTAAAATCGCTTCAAGTCTTTAAATAATGGGTGGTTTTGTCTTTGGCATATCTGTGAGAGGTTTTGTCTGTGGCGTATCACTTTGTGGTTCTGTGGGTAATTTTGCCTGAGACATATACGTCGGTGGTTCTATGAGTAGTTTTGTCTATGAAATATAGGCCTGTGGCTCTTTGGGTGGTTTTGTCTTGGACATATAGGTCTGTGACTAGACCTGTGGATAGTTTTGTCTAGGACATATAGGTCTGTGACAAGATCTGGGGGTGGTTTTTCTGGGACATAGGTCTTGGCCATGTGGGTAGTTTTGTCTGGACATATTAGTCTGTAGTTAGATCTGGGATATATAGGTCTATGGCTTGATCTATAGGTAGTTTTGACTGTGATATACAAGTATGTGCTAGACTTAGAATGTTTTCTTCATCATAATTTGTTTTAATAGCTTTAGCACAAACAAAAAATTCTCTTACGTGATGTCACAAACTTGGGAATATATTTAATGTTGTCTTGTGTTTTTCTCCTTTAAATGTGTTACAGGTTTTGTGAAGAATCAAATCCATGTGTGTACACACATTTTTTTCCACAAACTTATAAAATTTTTTGAACTTCATAAATTTGCAGCTTAGAATAGTTTTGTCACACACTGAAAATCATTTGTTGTACTGGGTGTTGTTGTTGAAGTATACATTTGCCTACATTGCTAGCACAGTGTTAACTTTCAGTGAATTGCTCATTCTTTGTAGGTTTCTATTAACATGCAGAGTGTCTTATTGTATTTATAAACATTTCTTTTAATTTATTAAGTGTCTTGTATTCTAGAAAGCCCCTCCCCCCTTCTATGTACTAAGTGAAAGTTAAGAACCCTTTTCATATTAGCCCTCGATTGGTGATGTAGTTAACATTTGCTGGCCGCCTTTACGTCTAAGGACTTTACCTGCTACCTATGTTATACACAGTTGACCTGAGAGCCTAAGCCATTTTTGAAAAATTCAAATGCATGACCTTTGGGCTGGTCGGCAGAGCGTCATGCTGCAACACCACATTGGCTTCCAGGGTAGTATGTGTTCTTAACTACTTAACTCTTTCAGTCCTAGACATGTGTATTTTAAGTTTTGTTTTCCTGCTTACTTACTTAGTTGATTCTTTTCTACCTTGGGGTGTAGAGGTTTGCCAGAGACATTGCCTGATTCCTCTGTCAACAGTTTTTTATTTTGTGTGTGGCCATGTTCCATTCGAGTCCTCTATCTGTCAGGGACTGTTGGATGTAGTGGCAGATTGTTCCCATTCGGCATACATGCATAAACCATTGTTACTGTGACTGACCCACTCGAATTTGTTAGGCCTGGATATGAAGATTGTGACGTTTGTTTTTCTAAACCATTGGTAATTACCGTAATAAATACTTAGGCCTGAAGGGGTTCAAATGACAGTATAAGGGGGCAGAAGAAATAGCAAAAAGAGTTTTTGAAAATTAAAGTTACAGCTGGATAAAGTACAAATAAAACAGAATGTCTAACTATGGGGAGAAAGAAATTGATAACTGTCATATGACAGTAGTCGTAACTACAGTAGCAATTGGAAAAATACTTTTGTGTGGGTCACAAGATCTTCTAGTGAATCAGAAGAGGCTTATTGTTCAGTTCTGCCACTGTAGCATTTTGTTAGTGGCTTTGCTGCTCATGAAAAATCTGGAAACCACGCAACTCTATCAGCAGGACATTTACATCCACATCATTTGTATCAGGAATTGATCCTTCACCATCAGAGTCTTTGGAACAGGCTTTATACCAGGGCTACTCAGCTAGCAGCCTATCAGGTGGCCCGTGGAACATTATCACTTGCATTAATAATCTTTATATGCTGGGTGCTCAACCCTCTGGCTCATGACAGTCTATTCAAAATGTTGGTCCCTGAGCTGACTTAGTTGAATAGCTCTATTCTCTACTGTCAGTTGACAGAAAATAATAAAGTACAGTGCAGGTTAATTTTGGAGCCAAATTCTTAAAATAATGTGATGAGGATTAATAGGTCATGTGCTCATGAAGAAATAATATGTGTAAAAGAAAACTGTGGCTGTGCTGAAAGAGGCCCTCTAACAATTTACACGTCTGCCTCCGGCCGAGATACATTTCATTGCTTTATCGAAACTAAACCCTGTGATAATTTGAAACAAAGCATCAAGACCTTTGTCTGCAGAACTACCATTTATGCATATTTCAGTAGACAACGTCAGTGCGATAGAAGCACGCTTTGTGTTCATTGGAAAGAAGTCCTGTCAGTGGTTCACGAATCTCGAGCAAATAAACATGGACACTGTAACTGCCTTTCCCACCAGGTGTGAGATTCCAGGTGTGATTCATTTTCTTCAAGCAGAAGGTCAAAATGTCAGAGTTTTATAATCAGTTGTGTCATGTTTATGATGATAATGTTATGAGTGACAGTTCTGTGAAGGATTGATGCAACAAATTCAGAGATGGACATAAAGATATGCAAACTAAAAATCTCAGTATGAGAATATAATTTTTTTTCTCAATCTGCTGCTCTTGGTAACTTACTCTGTTATTTGAAGATGCCGGTTCAGATCCATGGACTCAGGGTAAGATCCAGGAAGGCTAACCCAGGCAAAATGTGCTTAAAGAGCTGGATGTATCTGCCAAAAGGCACAAATATTATACCCATGCTGTCCCCCGTGTGGGTTCCGGGGCCCTATTGTGGGGAAAACAAGAATAGACCCACTGCCTCCCCAAAAGCATGTCGTAAGAGTCGACTAACTGGGGAGCTTCCTTTGAAGGAGTGCATCTGCCTGAGAGGCAAGAAACCAGCAGTCTACATTCAATTGAATCAGATCTGTAAAATTGATGCACATGCAACACTCAGGTTCTGGAGCAGGACTGCAGTCCAGAAGTGGACGAACAACCAGAACTTTACGCTAGAGTGTACAGCTGGTGAACGTGAAGAAGAAGAAGAATACCCATGCTGTAAAATGGCAAAGTACATTTACATCTTTGGATGAGTGCAGCAGAAGAAGAAGATAAGAAGGTAGTTGAAAGCAACTGTTGTTGACATTAATTGGAATTTGATAGTGGTTGAAATTCATTAAGAAAGTATTTTGTTGTTTCCTGTAGATGACAGCAATGTTTCCACAATTGTTTTTTTTGAAGGAGGATTTGTGTAGATGGCTGTGGGCTCAGATGTGATTTGTTTCAAACTGGAATGTGAAATTTTGCCCAATTCATGCAGGCAAAGTTGTTGTTTTGAAGAAAATATCATTTTACAGTATTAAGTGTG